TAAGTTATTTTTCTGATAACCTGTTTGCATTATGCCCCTGACTTATAAAAAAAACTATAATGGCAAAACTCGACAAAAGTTAAATTTCTTTTTCCAGATATTTTGTTGAAAAAGAAGTGATGAAATTGATGAATCCACATTTTTTTTCCATTTTGATAAAATGTGAAGTTAGGGAGGAATGACATAAAATAACTAAAAACAAGTTATTTTTTATTGAAACTTTTTTGGAAAGATAAGGTGTTTGAGTTACTAATGCTGGGAAAAAGTAGGTCATAGCAAAGAGAGGTAACTCATTGTGACAAAAAAATAACTCATTTGAGTTATTTTTGACAATAGCTTGTTTGCATTATGCCCCTGACTGTTTATGCAGATACTATTATCATGATAATTTTAAATTATATTCTCATACTCAGGTAGGTAAATTACCGAAATTTAGAGCATATGTGATATGTTTCTGCTAGGAATACCGGTATGGGAAACTGCCCAATCACGTATGCTTGTTATGCCCCAACCTCCCCCGATGATATCCACCTTGACATTTGTTAAAAATTTAATTAGTGTTGCAATACATTTTAATTTCTTTACCGTATTTTAAACTTTATTGCCTGACACCACGTGCCTCAGGCAGTATAAGGATTAATTTTTCCAAGATCCGAAACTAACCGATCATTCTTAATGAACTAGATTTTGTGCAAGCTGATTTACAACGGAATTTGTTACCTGCATTTAAAGAAAAACAGTTTGCAGAAGAAAGAATCATATTACTGATGCAAATTAATGATGTGTTAAATTCCTTCAGTTTTTGCATGCACATGTTCATTCTTTGCAGTTCTTTGTATGGACATGTCCATGTAACATTTTTTCTGCATTTCTAAACTGCTGGATCAGTCCATTTGCCTTTTACGAAAGGGGTGACACAATCATTTCGCGCGAAACGTCACATGTATATTATCTTCGCGCCTTTTTCTTGGATTGTTCTATTGAATGGGTGTGATAACTTCTATGGAAATAAATAAAGTTTATTCTTTTAACCTGATTCTTAAGCTTCAGATTTTTTATTAACAGTAAATTTTATCTCATTTTTGAAAAGAACACATTGTATATGGGCAGGCAACACTAAAGCAATGGATTTGCTGATTATTCTCACTATTTATCCTATAAGTGGACTAGTCCAATCATAAACAAACTCCCTCCACCTAGTAAATGGGACATCCCTTCTTGATTCAGTATGTTTTCCACCTTTTCTTTCAATATTACATTTATTAATAATGTACGTTACAAGGTTAGGCTTTTAAAAAAGCTTACAAAGTCAGTAGCATATTATTTCATGCTTTAATTGTGATGAACTAGGTTTCCTCTTAATCAGGCCAAATAAAAAAAATATGTGTGGTTCCGGTTACCCGACCGTCCCTATTTTATACCCCCGACCCTAAACTTTTTTTTGGGCAATTTTCATATTTTTTCCGGAATTTCATTGTCAACATTGCAACACAGAATTTTGAGAAAGATCATGAAAATTGAAAATGAAGTTGTTTATTCTGTAATATAAATATTTGCAAATACTTTTCTTAGATGAACCTATTGAAGAGAAAATATGTTCAATTCTGTATGAACTTATTAGGCCTGAGGGGGTCAGAGGTTATTGCATCACACTGCGAGATGATATCTTGTCTACATATTTCTGTCATGGTGCAACTGGTTTTGTAAAGTTCTTCTAAGTTAATAGCGATGAAAAAGATAAAATAATTGAAACATATGGAATTGTTTCCATCAACACGATCAACAGATGTTCAATAGATCTTTTTAAGGTGTGAAGAATGTTTTGTGTATTTTAATTAGCCTAAAATTGCACTTTTTAACCTGAAATTCTTTTGTTATGTAAACTAAAACAGCGATACCACCTCTTTTGACTTCAAATATATTAAGAACTCATAAAATAGTGAGATTATTCTCAGTAGCGATCATTGTTCTTTCATTATAAACAGATAATTCGTGAACCTGACTGATGACACATGAACCTTAACAAAATCATTTAATTTAATTGAAATGACAATTAGGGAATCAAAAGTAAATAATGTGCACTGCAAAAGGGGAAAAAATGTCAGTGGCACGCCAGATTAAATCTTGTGCATTCTTGTTAATATGTAGACGATGTAAGGTGTGTTTTTACTACCAAAGGCTTAGATGTTTGAGAATTGGAAGCAGATTCGGAACACTAATTTTAATTAGTTTAAACTTTGTAAGACTGGACATTTTTAGACTATACAAAAATTGTTATTTTACCTTCTTAACTTTAGACAGGAAATGTTTTAACAAAAGTATAATAATATATAGTTATGGAATTGGTATGAGGGAAATGGCAAATTTATGGTTCTCCGAGGAGGAAAACTTTTTCCCGAGGGGGTGAAACCCCCGAGGGAAATAGTTTCCTGCCACGACGAGCCATAAATTTGATGTTTCCCTCATACCCATTCCAGAACTGATTTATTATACGGAAATCATAAGAGTTTTATAAACTATAGACTCAGGCATTTTTTAAAACGATATAGGTTGAGGCATTTAAATAATCACAAATGCATGTTATTCAAATTTTGTTAAATATCTAATGCATCTGAATACCGAGGAAAATAAAATTATTTTAATTAAAAAAATTATTTCACAGACATTTCAAAGGATTACCGTTGTCTTCATTTTTCTACAATTCTGGTTTAGTATCACTATGATTTTGACCTGGCATATCGAAATGTTTTGACGTCATAGTTTCATTGTTAATAACATTACGTCACAGACTAAAGTTTCCTTGAACGCTCCACCCACTGTTCATTTTAATTGGTTAAAATTACTAATAAACATTCATGAGGGAGTAGTCCCAGGGAGTAGCTCTGATTTTCAGGAATTAGTCCTCAGATGAGGGAAGTAGTATCTTCTCAGTTTTATGGTATTAGTTTTATATAGAGTAATTAAGTAAAGGTATAATAATGATAAATATTCCCCACAAGTCAGTAGTGATAAATATTCCCCACAAGTAAGCGGTTGTAGTCTGTCTGTCTCTCTGTCAGTATATAGCTCTACTGGATGAAGACCAGAAGAGCTTATGCGTTACTTAGGTGTCCATTGTTCGTCCTTCTGTCTGTCCTTTTGTAAATAATTTTTAGCTCGCCTGAGCCGAAGGCTCAAGTGAGCTTTTCTGATCACATTTTGTCCGGTGTCCGTCTGTCTTTCTAGCTGTCTGTCTGTCTGTAAACTTTTCACATTTTCAACTTCTTCTCAAGAACCACTGTCAGCTAATTTCAACCAAACTTGCTACAAAGTATTCTTGGGTGAAAGAGATTCAAGTTTGTTCAATGAAGGGCCATGACCTCTTTCAAGGGGAGATAGTTAGGAATTAGTGAAATAATAATGGCATCATTTAAAAATCTTCCTCTCAAGAACCACTGAGCCAGGAAAGATGAAACTTAGATGGAAACATCCTCAATTAGTGTAAATTCAAGTTTGTTCAAATCATGACCCCCGGGGGTAGGGTGGGGCCACACAGTGGGGGATCAAGTTTTTACATAGAAATATATAGGAAAATATCTTTTAAAATCTTCTTCTCAAGAACAGCAAAGCCATGATTGGTCATATTTATATGGAAGCATCCTCAGGTAGTGTAGATTCAAATTTGTTTAAATCATGACCCCAGGGAGTAAGGTTGGGCCACAATGGGGGATCAAAATTTCCTAGAAATATATAGGAAAATATCTTTAAAAATATTCTTCCTAAGAACAGAAAAGCCATGATTGGTCATATTTATATGAAAGCATCCTCAGATAGTGTAGATTCAAATAATGACCCCCGGGGGTAGGGTGGAGCAAGAACGGGTGATCAAACTTTAGCATAGGAATACATAGGAAAATTCTTTAAAACTCTTCTTCTCAAGAACAGCAAAGTCATGATTGGTCATATTTTAATGGAAGCATCCTCAGGTAGTGTAGATTTAAGTTTTTTTCAAGTCATGACCCACAGGTGTAGGGTTGGGCCACAACAGGTGATCAGAGTTTTTCATAGGAGTCAGTATATGTATAGGAAAAAACTTCTTCTCAAGAACAGCAAACCCATGATTGGTCATATTTATACGGAAGCATCATCAGATCGTTTAGATTTAATTTTGTACAAACCATGACCCCCAGGGGTAGGGTGGGGCCACAATGGGGGATCAGTGTTTTACATAGGAATATATAGGAAAAAATCTTTTTGGCAAGAACAGAAAAACCATGATTAGTCATATTGATAATTTGTTCAAATGAGGGCCCCCGGGGGTAGGGTGGGGCTACAATGGGGAATGAAATTTTTACAAATGAATATATAGGAAAAAATCTGCGCAAGAACATCAAAGCCTTTTGTTATATTGATATTGAAGCATCATCAGGTAATTAAAATTCAAGCCCCCCCCCCCCTTTGAAGTGAACTGATTTTTGCTTTTTTCTTAGCCAATGTGCTCAGGTGAGAGATGTGGCCCATGGACCTCTTGTTTTTAAAATGCTACTCCTCCTACAGTTTTGGTCTGATAACAATATAACTTGGCACACAGGTAGACAACACTAAGCAACATAATTCTGTATATCTGTTTTGGATTTTGATCAACAGTGTTGCCATGGTTACAAAAAACAAAAAATAGAAATTTCTGTAAAATACTTTCAAAATGCTACTTCTCCTACAGTATTGGTTTAAATACAGTATAACTTGGCACACAAGTAGACAACACTATGATACTTAATTCTATTTATTGCTGTTACAAAGTTTCAATCCAAGTATTACTTTTCTCTTCCTTTGTTATAAGTACAACCCAGTAGAGCGACTGTGAGTCTCATCAGAGACTTCTGGTTTTTGAGCATCTTTTTTCTAGGAAGACTAAGTTTCTAGGAAGATATTGACCTTAAGTTGAGTTGACGCTTTTTCTCTTTGAAGATTAAAGATTTGGGGACAATCAAAAATTAAAGTGGCTGAAGTCATGGAGACCCAATCTCAGTTCACAGGGAATACCACGGACTGCAAGGAAGGACATTGGAACTGGCTTATGTATTCCAATTTTGATTGCAGTTGATGAAAGATGTCGTACTTAGGGAAACATTAGATGAAATTACTTTGAAGTAAGACTTTATTATACCCTGCAAAGTTCAGTATATATACATAATATGCTGTAAACCAACTTTAACTTGCCTACAAGAAAGATCTGCAAGATTCGCAACCTTCACTACTTGCAAATATTTCTCATCAGGTGCCATGCATAAGTTGTGACAGTGTATTAGAATGTTTCCTTAGAGCTTTGTGAAAATTAATGGTCACTGTTGCAGATGGATTTCAATAAAGTAAGGAATCCTGAATAAAAATTGTCAGGAATAATAGTTGGTTTATAGAATACATACTACAGTAATAAGAGTACAGTTGAACTTCGGTATCTCGAACACTGATATCTCGAATACCATGTAAAATATGGTATTCTAGTCCCAATCACTTATTATTAAGAATTTTTCCCTCAGTATCCCAAATCTTCCAGATATCTCAAAGTTTTTTCACAGTCCCGTCTAGGTCAAGATAACAGGGTTTGACTGTCAGGGTTTGACATTAACGAGTACTAGTCTTGTCGAACTGTCTTTCAGAAGATTCTAAAAATGTATTTTTGTTGCATTTAAAATGAGTGATAGGTTAGATAAGGAGTAGTTTTCATTAGGAAAAATATCTACCTAAGTGAAAAAAGGAATACCTTAACATGCTTACTGCAATTCAGATTAAGCAATTAAGAGTGTCAGAATTACATAGGAAGTGTTATTTTAATTGTCCATGTACTTCTAATAATTCTATATTGTAAATTTAAAAGCAAGATATTCTTTTGTTTACTACAAATTTATAATATTTACTTGCAAGAACTTTAATAGAGAAATAAGATTTTTTTCTTAAGGTTTTGTTAAATGTTAGAGCTCTTACTGAAAAATTCTAATTGTACACAACAATAAGTAGATTTTATCCAGCATTTATTACACTAAGACCTACTTTTAAAACGTTGTCAACATGGTCAGTAGTACTTGATATTATGGAAAATTGGTGATTTGCAGTACTCTATACAGGACTTTTTTCACCCCATGTTATTTTTGCCCTTTCACACTTGCAAACAATTTTGCCCCGTTTTAAAATTGGTCAGTCACAGTTCTGTTTAAGAAATTATACATACTGTGTTCTTTGAATTTACCCCGTTTTAAAATTGCACACCTGTGAGTAGGCCCAAAGGGGCGAAAATAAAATGGGGGGGGGATTTCCATGTATACAGTTTATTCCTACTAATCTGTCTTTAACTTACAGATACCCCTAGTTTGTCAACTTCTAGCCAAGATCCTACAGGTTAGTTGAATTGGAGAACAGATGTACACACAGTAGAAAGGGTAAGTAGACCTTATAAAAAAGATCACTTGCTTCAAAATAATAAATTAATTTAATTGAAAGTAATTTCCTAACTTCTCAAAAAACACAGTTTCCCCCAAAACTTGGATAAATCCCTGTGGAATGAAATTGAAACTTGATCTGTACCGTATATACTAGCCTATAAGTCGGTCCACCTATAAGTCGGTTGTATTTATTAAGCTTAAATTAGAGGGATTGACCCACTAAATTACCAATCTTGTTAAAACTTGCGTATAAGTCGGTAAAGAGTTTTGGACCAAAGTTTAACTCCCAAAAAACCAACTTATAGGCAAGTATGTAAGGTAATTCATCAAGATACACACACTTATCAAAAAAAGCTCATTTTCTGCAAGCATTTAGGAAAAAAGTGCAGAAAGCCAAGTGGGAGAGACTGACAGACAGACAAAGCGACTAATGCTCTAACCACTGCATCACTTGAGCTTATTGACAGAGTAAAACCTTACTGTAGAAAGAACAAATGATATTATTTTCCCTTACCCGGTATTATTTTTTTTCTTTTTGTAAAACCTTGAACCTCAGCCCAATTTGGTTCAACTAGAATAAATACAGTCACAACATTGAAATGAATTCAAAGTTATAACTTACTACAGAATGCAGAATTTCTAAACCCCTCATAATTTTTATGGAAATTGTAGGTTGTAATTTTTGTTGATATTTCTTACATTGCTTTAAATGCTCATGAATGATGCTTTCTTTTCAGATATTACCTGAAAACATCAAATGACGGGGAAAAAAGAAGACTGCCTATTTCAGAGATATATATTTTCACAGTATCATCACCCATAGCACTACGATCAAAAATTAAAAATGACATTAAGGAAGAAAAAAAATGAAGAAACTGATCAAAAAGAAAAGAAGTTGGAAGAGTTTCGAATATTATGTCTGAATATTCTGTCAACAACACCATAGATCTGGAGAGGGATTTTTTTGCCTAATAATTTATATTAATGCATGTACATTTATTTTTTAATTCTTTTTTATATATAGTGTTGCCTTTTTTTTCATCAAGTGTACATGTTACTTTTTTAGCTCACCCAAACTTAAAGCTCAAGTGAGCTTTTCTGATTGAAAAATGTCTGGTTTCTGTCTGTCCATCTGATGTGTGTTGTCTGTTAACTTTTTACATTTTTGAATTCTTCTCTAGAATCACTTGGACTATTTCAACCAAACTTGCCTCAAAGCATCCTTTTATAAAAGGGGAAAAAGTTTGTTCAAACGAAGAGCCATGCCCTCTTTTAAGGGGAGATAATTAAGAGTTCATGAAAATTTGATGGATTTTCTAAAGTCTTCTTTTCAAGAACAACTTGGCTGGAAAATGTTAATGTTATGTGAAAGCTTCCTGATTTAAGGGTGTTCAAATCGTGTGTGGCCACAACAGGAGATCACAGTTTTACACATGGGAATATATAGGAAAAATATTTATTTTCTTCTTGTAAAGAATAACAAGGTCATGATTAGTCATATTAATATGTTGTAAATCATCCTCAGAGCAGATTTAATTTTTCCAAATAATGGTCCCTGGGGGTAAAATGGGACTACAACTTGTTGGCCCTCAGGAGTAGAATAAGGCAACAAAGGGGATCAATATTTCAAGGTGAAATGTATGACGATGATATTTTTTGAAAAATAATGTAGAAAACACCATGCCAACACTTCTTTTGAAACATTCCCAAGTTATGTGGATTCAAATTTTCTTTAAATTATTGTTCCCAGTATTAGAGTAAGCTAGAATCTGGAAGCATTTTTTTATTATTCAATGAGTGTTTTCCCCTTCTGCAGAACAACATGACCTTCTTAATCAATATTGAAGCATCCCCAAGATATGTGGATTAAAGTTAGGGTATTATGGGTCATAATTCAGTGTGAAAATAATTGCATAACATTTAGTATGAAAAAGGTCAATCAACATTTGACTTAAAAAGATTGTATTGCTAATAAGGTCATTGCATCCATCATAGAATTTGCAAATTGCTGACTTTAAACAGGGCTGTTGATATCCTTGTATCATCAACTTATATGTCAATAGCTTGCCCCATTTTAAAGATTGTTTATTGTCTGTAGAGCATGCTCTTGTATATCAAATCAACTTGAAGACATAAACTCCATACATGTATGACAGAAGTTATAAGAAGGAAATTTGTGTATTGCCAATTCACTAATTGTAGTTTAATGCAAATTTGATACAGATTTAATCAATTATTAATCCACAAGTTTTCAAAACTTTGATTTAACTGTGTGTTTACTGTACATGTACCACAATACTTCCATCATGTTTACAACTTTACATGCAGATCAGAGGGAGGGGTGTTCATATTATAATACAAAGCTGAAGCAGGTTATGCATTTTTTCAGCAATGTGGCAACCATCACATCTTGTGTAACACAACAAAAAGCTTATTGTTTGGATATTAATAATTATTTAAAATTGCAAGAAAAAGGACTGTAAATGTTTAGAGGTTTATGTGCAGCAATATATACAAAAAAATTGTCTAACAATGTTTACTCTTTGTTGTTTGTGCTGTACTGGTATGTACTTTTGTATTGAAGCATGAGAAATAAAAAAAAATTGTTGATTTAAAGACAAGAAGGTTTTGGAAAGTCATGGAATTAGTGTTTGAAAGGTCCGTATGAACTATGTTAAGTGTATATATATTTGTATTTTTGTCAAATCAGAGTACATATTTCTTCAGAAAACTCGTCGAAGTTAATATTATTTGATGCAATTTAACAAATCATTATATAATTTACTTTCAAAAGTAATGCATTATTTTCATAAGTTCAGTAATGTTTAGCACTTTGATAGAAACAATTGTAGAAGAAGATTTATCATATTATATTTGGAATTTTAAAGAATTTTTAAATCTGCGAAAATAATTCCTTGTCTTAATACATACATGTATGTACAAATCCTTTCATGTTGAAATGACAATGCAAAGAAGGGAATAAAACATATGTATGTACACTTATGCTTTCTTATCAAACTTGGTTTTTGTGGAAGGAGAAAGGTTGATGAAATAATATCTTAAAGATGCATATCAGTCCTTTAAAATTTTCAGTGAAATATTTTGACTTGCATGTTACCAGACATGATATATTAATAATGAATGCGAGGTTACAAACCTTATAATTCTTTATTTGAAGATAAAACTAATGACTTCCATTGTAATTGTCATACATCCTAGCACTTTCTTGTGTTAAAATATATAGAGGAAAGGGGGAAATCTGTCTTTAAAAAGGAACATATTGGACATTTTCGGTTTGGTGAACATGTACATATCTTGAGTATGGGGCGTATTATGCACCAAAAATATTGCGTAGTATTTAAAGCTGAACACGCTTCGTAAAAAGAATCTGTCCGCCATATTCGATTGGACTCTCCCTATATCTGAGGGCCCCTATATATAGAGCCGCTCACTGGTCACTGTTCAGTGTATTCAATTGTCACTGGTGTAGACGGACGTATGCTATACAGCACTTGGTGGCCACAAAAATAACTGCTTCTTCTAATGCAAGAGAGTAAGATACCAAGGAGATTTACAACAATTGCACAGGTCAGTGCAGTATACAAACAAACACAAATATACGTAATTGCAATAAAATGTAAACAAGAAAAGTTAATTGCCTTGAAATAGTTAAATTAAGCTACCCGAGGTAGGTAAATAAAGCTACGGTAGGTAATTTTGAAAACAATTCATGAAAAAATCTTGGAGATGTAGTTTTTCTGTGCAATTTCAAACAAAGTTCTAAAAGTTTTGGGGCTATATACAACTATTAATTTGTGACCAAACAGTTTACTTCTTGAATGAAATAACTAAATCAAATAATCCCAAGTATAAATATATTATTAGTCATTTATTTGTGATTTTTTTGTCTTTTTAAAATAAAAGGCAAAATTGTGAAAAGTTAATTGCCTTGAAATAGTTAAATTAAGCTACCCGAGGTAGGTAAATAAAGCTACGGTAGGTAATTTTAGCTACGTAGCTAAATGTACTGATTGTACTGGACCTGCTACCCATTGTTATTCGCTCATATAAAAATCAGAATAAAAATAATTGCAGTAATTCTCATGTGCACTTAACCAGGCCAGGATTCAGCTGACCAGGTCCCAGAGCTCTAAACTGCTTCTTTTCCACCTATGTATCATATCCAACACTGGGAAACTGACCGCCTCACCAAGAACAACACTAGGACTGTGTATCTTTACAAAAAGGTATCACAATGCATCTCGGAACCTCAGAAAAATATATAACAATGTATGATACGAGGGCCATTCAAAAATTATGCGGACTTGTAGCACAGAAAATAAATTTGACGACAAAATCAAGCAAAAAGTCATAAATAATATAAAAGAATCTTTTTATATATGATCATCAGAATTTCATATCAAAATATTGTAAATTGGTATCAATTTCAAGTGATTTAACAGAACATCTTATGAAGTCACGGCGCAGTAAAACCTTCAACGTCACAGGCATTTAAAAAAATGGGAGCTTTCATTTTCTCAATATTTTCCCTTAGTATTTGATACTGTATAGTTTGGGTTACCTTATCCACTCAGAATAAAGATCCATATACCATTTCTGATTCAACTTAAAAACTGTAAAACTATTATTGTGTGTTTTAGTTTGTGTTAAACCCCAAAACTGCAGATATTTCTGAAGTAAATTAAGTTTGACGTCGGTCGATCTCAATTACATTCTTTACAGTCCAGAACTCCAGATCAGCGTTTTGTCAATGAACTTCACACCCCGTGCACCAAAGATTTTTGCTCGTACACCAAGACAAAAACAAATGTTTGATTAAATTTAAAACTTGCTCAATCCAGAAAAATTGTTCAAAGTCTTGGGAAAATTGGGAAAAATTGTTTATTTAATGATAAAAACTTGACATATAAACCATGTAAATAAAACCACAAAATAAGGAGTTTGTTTGTCTGTTGTTTAACGTCCCTCTTGAGAATGTTTCACTCATAAGGAGACGTCACCACTTGCCGGTGGAGAGCTGCAAATTTTGACCTATGCTGATCGGCACTTAGGGTCATTGAGCAGTGAGGGATCTTTTTCATGCCAGCACCTACTGTGACACGGTACCTCGATTTATCATCCCAAGGACCGGTCTCCACGTCCCACAGTGGGATTCGAACCTGTGATGTAAGGATCAACTCCTTACTCCGCAACTCTAGAGCAAACACTCTAACCACTGGCCACTGCGCCAGGGGGGCGACCAAAACAAGGAGTAAAATGCTGTTTCTCTACACCTCCTCACCAATTCTCCATTGGAGTTGGTGCACTCCATCTAGTATTACATAATGGAATCCCAAAATGCAATGCATATTGGCAGGAAATACAAAACTCCCAAGAAATCAATGTCCAAGTAGGATATAAAAATAAGTTATTAAAGATATTTTTAAAAAAAACTTTTCGTGTGTGTAAAATACCTAATTTAAGTTATTTTTCTGATAACCTGTTTGCATTATGCCCCTGACTTATAAAAAAAACTATAATGGCAAAACTCGACAAAAGTTAAATTTCTTTTTCCAGATATTTTGTTGAAAAAGAAGTGATGAAATTGATGAATCCACATTTTTTTCCATTTTGATAAAATGTGAAGTTAGGGAGGAATGACATAAAATAACTAAAAACAAGTTATTTTTTATTGAAACTTTTTTGGAAAGATAAGGTGTTTGAGTTACTAATGCTGGGAAAAAGTAGGTCATAGCAAAGAGAGGTAACTCATTGTGACAAAAAAATAACTCATTTGAGTTATTTTTGACAATAGCTTGTTTGCATTATGCCCCTGACTGTTTATGCAGATACTATTATCATG